GATACATATGTTCGCATTTTGTTTGTCAATCAGTCAGGCACGGAATTTTGTCATCATTGTAACAACTTCAGAACTCTGTTTTAATGTCGAAATGTAGGTTGTAACATGAGGTTTTGAAGACGAATAACAAATCACTTGATGTGGTCCTTAAAATTGTTATGCGAAATCCTATTTACCATGAAGACTCACCATGCTTTTTAATGGTTGAGAAATAAGAAAACAGCTTACGAAACAACTTCTCAAATCAAATCCATGAATACTCAATAAGATAAAACTTTAGACAATCGTGCAGTTATTCCATTACTATTTACTATAACAGGCTTTGAAGCAGAGTATTCCTAGATAGAGGCAAAAACGTTCATTAGCACACACGTTGAGCATGAATGATACAGAACCTTGTTTAAGGTTTGGTTATTCATACAAAAAAATCATCAGAGGCTCATTAATTTATCTAAACTTCACGATAAGTACCTAGCATTGTATCTTATGGAAGTTTAGTAGCGTATGTGTGAACAGGCATCGAGACAAAAAACAGCAAGGATCTTTTATGATCAAGCTATCAATATCGTTAATGCCACTCTAGATCAAGGATGAACTTTAACAAAAGCCACCACAGTAAGTCTCACAGAAAGAAAAGCAGATTGATCTTAGTTTGTACCATGATTAGAAAGGAAATATTCAAGGGTATTGGTTTGTGGAGATGCTTCATAAATTATTTTATAGGGTTTTAACAATAAAGGCTCATGAAAAGACATCTAAGCTTAAATGAATAGGCATAATAATTTTAATGACCATATCCAGTGATTTGTTTTTTGCCTTTAAAACTTCATGCTATTGCCTACACTAAGATATCAAAACGAAGTGCTGAAGTTGTTTCAATGATAGAAACCTTCCGTGTCTGAAGTTGAGCAGACAAAATGTAAACTTATGCATCTTTCCTTAAAGAAATGTGCTTGATACAGCAGAAGTCTCCTTTTTACCGAGTGACTTGATACCCACTTCCTGAAACCCATTTATTAAATTTGTATGAATAAAACTCTCCTTGGTTAAACTGGAAGACCACTTATTTCGAAAAATTCAAGTAGCAATGACTTAGCCTGTGATTTTCCAAAATGGAGATACTTTTGCATTTTTAAGAGTGGACTAAGAATTTTGAGAGTTCATAAAAACCAGAGATCGAAGCCGATTTTTTCGGATTAAGTCGATTTTTGATTTTTTTGATAGAAAAAAGCCATTTGACACCAATTTCAAGTATTTAAATTCTGGGCTCACTATAGCTACATGCTGTCAAAATATTACAAAAAATCATAATAAAGCATGTAAAGTTCAATTTAAATACTTGAAATGGGTGTCAAGTGACAAAAAAATCAAAAATTAAGTTAAGCCGAAAAAATCGGCTTCGATCTCTGATAACCCTTGATAAATTCGATTTCATTCATTTAAAATACTTAGCTTTCTGATCATCGACTTCTTGCTTCATTTCAGGCTCCTTCTCAACAAACTTTTCACTTAATTTTATTCATTTTCAAATATATTTAATTTTTTTCGATCACTTTTGCTTTTCTCTTTAATTTGAGCATAACAACGTTTTATGTTTTATGTTTAAGTTTCATCACTTTTACAGCACCGCTCTACTTTATCATTCAAACTTAAACAATTTTAAATCGCGCACGAACGTAAAAACTTGTCTGAATTTCAACGAATGAAGAGAAACTGAATGCAAAGGTATCTATGATTAATTAAATCTTTTGAATTCATCTTTATATTTTTCTGCATTTAACTTGTAAAAATTTAAATTTGAAAAGATCGTTTGTTAAACCATTGCTTTTAAAACAAATTTCAACAATTGATGAACTGATGCCTTTTTTACTCAATCAATATTTGTCAGATCAATAACTTGTGCTGGTTTATTTTTATGGCTTTTATCAATGCAGTTTTAACATATATAAAAAAATGTTTCAAAGTTTTTGTTCTGCTTACTGCTGAAAAGCTAACATTTTATAATTCAGGAATGATTGAGGAAGTCTGATTGTGTGTATGAAATTTAAGCTTTCCAAATATACAATATAATGAGTGCGCCCACGTTTTAAGATGTAGAACTATACGATATGGTCGAAGTGAACAAATTTGCAATTCATTTATGATCATGACTTTAGTATGAAAATTTCAAATCAATCTCAAATTTTCAAACCAATGTCATTTGAACCAAATGAAAAAGTTATTTTCTACTTTTTAGTCCACGGTAAAAACGTGGTTTTTTAAAAAGTTTTTTTTATAAAGTATTTTTTACTTCCAAAACTTTAAACACATGTATTAGTACTTCATTTATAAATCAACTCTTTTTTCAGTCACAAGTAAAGTCAGGAATGGGTCTGGAAAAATTATTTTTGCTCGTTTTGGTATCAAAGATAGTAACTTCGCAAATTCAATCAAGTAATGCTATCATTGAAGTAACAGACAGCAGCATAAAATGGGATAAATTAAGCAACCGTTTGGGACAAATGATGTTGAATAGTAACGTGGCTAAAAAGAAAGAATCAATAACTGTGCTGATAGTTTTGATGGTTGATCAGAGGATGTCCTCAGAATTTATCGGCATGCATCAAGCTTTATCAAAACATGGCAAAGATAAAATTTCATTTAATACGATGACATACAGAAATCCAGCAGTTAAATCAAACCACGAATTTGTGCTGCTTCTCATGCACAGCTATGTCCAGAACTATGCGATAGCATTAAAACAACGGTTAAAGCTTATATTACCTGATTTATCTACAAAAATTCTTGTGATTATGACTGGTTCATTAAAAGTTAATAGCGTTTCTAGTGTATGGTCTTCACTTACTATGATGGGATATTTCGATGTCTATATAGTTCTACATGATCAGTTAGGAATGTTTAAAATGTATCGTACCACAATGACAGAAGAAAACATTGAAATGACATTCACACAGGACACAAAGTTCTTTACAGTAAAGGAAATCTCCGAAGATTCATGGATGCTCGATATTCATGTCCTTTTTTACAACTCGTACCCAATGTCGTACATTAAAAGTGGTGAAATTATTGGTACTGAAGGAAAGTTGATACAAGAATTCAGCAACAGAATGAGAATACCTTACCTGATCATTAACAAAAATCATGATAAGTTGGTAATCAATGAAGTTGCACAATATATGACTACAAGTGCTGATATTTGTTTATATACGAATCTAAATTTGATTGGAAATATAATGGAAACTGCTTGGTTAAATGAGATGAATGGACTATGCGTGCTCACACCTAGAAATATTCCGATATCTTCATATGACAATCTTGCATTGCCACTTGATGAAATGTCTCTTATCATGTCATTTGTGTCTACAGTATCGATCATCGTATCATGGAAGATGATTTCAATCTACACAGCAAATGGAAGGTCATTGAAATCCATCATTGTGGCAGTTCTCGAGATGGTTTTCAACATCGGTGCATCAGGAATAGAACAAATTACCAAGAAAGAAGTCATTCTTCTATATTCTTTCATATTCAGTTCTATCATTCTTGTTTCATTCTATGAATCCCTTCTTTTAGCTTTCATGTTAGCAGAGCCATCATGGAGATCAGCACATGACTTGACAGAGTTAAATGACACCGGTGCAAAGTTTTTCTCATTTTATGGAAGAAATTCTGATCATTCTGGACATGCAGCTCATATTCGAGTAGAATTAATACAGAATGTTGTTGAATTGGAATCAACTACTCCATTGATAGTCCCAGATAATTTTGATAAAAATTTGGTGTATCTTGTAACTTGCAAGTATGCTGATTCATTTATGAGATCAACAAGAAACTTTTATCAAGATCGACGAATATTTGATACAATTAAAGTAACTGAAATGTTTCAGGGATATCCAATCAGAAAAGGATTTGCATACCAAGACGAATTCAAGCAAATGGTAAGAATCTGGACAGAATCTGGAATCTATAAGTATTGGCAGACACAAAGCATTGAAAAAACAATGACGACTAAAAAGCATGAGAATATCCAAACGGACCAATCATATGATGTACAATTTCTATTGAATATTCTGATTACTGGCTTATCAATATCGTTTGTTGTGTTTCTGTATGAGAATATTGCTGGTAGATTGAAAACATGCTTCAATCGGAAAACAGTAATTGAGAGTAAGCCACAAACTCAAATAGTCAAGAAGAAGATAAATCGATCAAAGTGGATGAACAAATTCATACATAAGAAGGAGTCGAGAAAGATGCAGCACATTGGTACTGATCGAAACCAGGGAAATGTGAGATACCAAGAATCTATATCTGGTGGATATTTTTTGGTTAAAAAAATTAAAAGAACAAGAAAACTCTCTAAAATCATTCAAGTGCGACCTTATTTATCAAAGATTTAAATTTTTCTTTAAATTTAAATTTTAATCATTAAGTTGAAAAGGATTCTTGCCTTTAATATTGTTTGAACTTAAAAAAATTATTATACATTACAAATCTTTCGTGAAATTTACTGGATCAATAAATTGACTATATGTTCAATTACTGTCTAGGCGTGGAAACTCAGGATTAATCCTGAAAAATCCCGAAAATCTTTAATAAATCCCTGAGCCAATAAACGTAGAAATGTAAAATCCCTTTAAAATCCCGAAATTATTCATCAATTGCATCAGAGATTTACAATTCCAAGTTTATTGGCTCAGGGATTTTTTAGGATTTTTGGGATTTTTTTCAGGATTAATCCTGAGTTTCCATGCCTTGATTACTGTATAATTAACCTATCCATGTTTAGTTTGCACATGATTTGACTGATTACATTAATTGTAGACTATTGGATTTCAGTTTGTGAATTGACTATTAAAGTTCAATATTTTCTAACATAAAGTTTTACTGAGTTGTCACACAACGACGTTAAAATGCTTTTAAAACCTAAAATATTTGTAGTTTTTATTGTTGTGGTCCTAATTATGGACTATTCTCATTCAGAAAGTAACACCGCGTTGATGAAAATCGAAGATAATGGAATTAAGTGGGAGAAATTGACTGAACGATTAGGAACAATGATGTTAAATAGTGACGTGGCTCAAAAGAATCAGTTAATAAATGTGCTGATACTTATAATGGTTGACCAAATAAGGCTCGTTGAATTTAACGGCATGCAACAGTATTTATCGAAATTTGTTGATGGAAGAATGATATTTACCATACAGACATTTACAACATCAACAGCTTATGTTCCCACACATGATTTTATTCTACTTCTCATGCATAGTGACATAACGAGCTATACACAAATATTAAAAAAGTATTTCTTTAGAATATTTCCAGATCTTTCTACGAAAATTTTTGTGATAATTACAGGTTCGTTAGAAATTACAAATGCAGGCAATGTTTGGAATACACTTACTTTAATGGGATATACCAATGTCTATGTAGTCCTCCATCATAAGTTTGGACATATTAAACTATTCCGAACACAATTAATTGTTGACATCTTTGAAATGATCAAATCACAAGACATCAAATATGTCACGATAAAGGAAATGCCAGAATATGCATGGGTGCTTTACATCAATGTGGTTTTTTACAACTCGTATCCAATGTCGTATATTCATAATGGTGAAATAATTGGTGCAGAGGGAAAATTAATGCAAGAATTCAGCCGAAGAATAAAGATTCCACATCGAGTTGTTAATAAAAACTTTGATAATTTGCAAGCAAATGAAGTTTTATATTTTATGAGAACAGCTGGAGATATTTGTTTGTTTTCGAATCTCAACTTAAATTCGGATAGTGTCGAAAGCGTTCCATTAAATGAAATGGATGGACTTTGCGTCCTTACACCAAGGAACATTCCTGTATCTTCATATGACAATTTAGCTTTACCACTCGATGTAATGTCACTTATCATGTCTTTTATATCTACAATATCAGTCATAGTATCATGGAAGGTGATTTCAACCTATAAAGCTAATGGAAGATCACTAAAATCAATTGTTGTGGCAGTTCTGGAAATGGCTTTCAACATCGGTGTATCAGGGATAGAACAAATTAGCAAGAAAGAAGTTATTCTTCTATATTCCTTCATATTCAGTTCTATCGTTCTTGTTTCATTCTATGAATCTCTGCTCTTAGCTTTCATGCTAGCAGAGCCATCATGGAGATCAGCACATGATTTGACAGAGTTGAATGATAGCGGTGCAAAGTTCTATACTTTTTATAAAAGGGATTATTTTGGAAGAATACCTTACATTCGAGAAGAATTAATACAGAATTTAGTTGATGTAGGAACGATAGAGTCATTAAACGTACCAAACAATTTTGATCATAACATGGTTTATCTTGTGACTTGCAAATACGCCGACTCATTCATGAAATCAACAAGAAATTTCGATGAAAAAAGACGAAAATTCGATGTGATTAAGATATCTGAAATGTTTCAGGCATATCCAGTCAGAAAAGGATTTCTTTACGAAAAAGAGTTTATGCAAATCGTGAGAATATGGGCGGAATCAGGAATTCACAAATATTGGCAAACACAAAGCATTGAAAATGAAATGAAAAGCAATAAGCAAAGTAATAATCAAATGGAACAATCATATGATGTACAATTTTTATTAAACATTCTGATTATTGGATTATCTTTATCATTTGGTGTATTCCTGTATGAGATTTTAATGATCAGATTTAACAGTTTATGCTTAGATCAGATAAGAGTTACTAAAGACAAGCTACAAAATCCAGTTTTCAAAAAGATGTTGCGTTTATCAAAATGGAAGAACAAATTCATCTACAAGAAGAAACTAAGAAAATCTAAGATGAAAATTTACAAATCCCGAGAAACTATATTTTGTGGATATTTTTTGTTGAAAAAAGTAAGAAAAAGTCAAAAGTCAAAGCAGTTTCCTCGAATCATTCAAGTTCGAACTTGCAATAAAAATCGTATAATTGAATAGATTGAATTAGTTCCTTATTGCTGTCAAACGTTTATGTTAAGAGTTTCATTGTCAAAAAATTGTAATAAATAATAAAAACAATATTTGATTGTTCTTACATTTTAAAATTAGGCTAATACCGTTAATACTACTGAACTAGTTCGGTTTCTAATTCTTCTTGGAGTCTTAGTCATAGTTAAATGTTATTTCTTTACTTCTTCACTTTCAATAGCGCACGTTGACCCATTGCCGCGCTTAGAGATCGTCTGAAGACAGCTCTAACCTAGAAACCTTCTGCCAGTTCGGGATATTAGGGACTCTAGTGTCCTTTTCAACACATACAATCTACGAAATCTTCGGTCAGTAAATTTTATTCAAACCCAAAAATTATCAACAGCCACAATTCTCATGAATCATGGGTCATAGATTAGACTGATAAACTACATTTTATTAGCTAAATGTAGAAAGGCTCACCTAAACTAGGCTCACCCTCCCTGAGGTTCTGAATCGTACTTGATCTAAAAATAAGGATGCAAATTAAATAAAATCGATAGAACTTTCAACAGCAAAACACTTCCTTGTGAGTAGACATATGATCAATAGATTACGTTAATTATGCACTGTTAAGCGAGTGTGTTGAATATTGCCTTCGATTAAATTTCTAATTTTTTTAATACTAAGTTTTATTCAGTTTTATTGGATTCTACATAAAGATTGAAAAAAATGCATTTATATTCTATAAAATTGAAAATTTTGATTTTTGTGGTTCTGCTTGAGGTTACAAGACAGGCAGAAACTAGTAACACAATGTTGGAGGTTAAAGATGACAGCATAAAGTGGGTAAACTTGGCTGAACGATTAGTTGCGATGATGTTAAACAGTGACGTGGCCCAAACGAAAAGTCCAATTCATGTGCTGATTTTTATGATGGTCAACAAAGAAACTTCTTCAGATTTTGATGGCATGGCTAAAGCTTTTTCAAAAGCTAGCAAGGAGAGAATCACATTCGTTTTTGAAATATTGCAGTTCTTTCCAACTAAAACTATGGAATACAATAGAATCAATATCGACATGCCATTCGAATTTGTAATCCTTCTCATGCACAGCCGTATCACTGGGTATTCGTACTTTATAAATCTAAATTTTCATCAAATTTTTCCTGATAAGTCTTTGAAACTGTTTTTGGTTATGATCGGAACTCAAGATGTCAATATGGTCTTTAGAGAATGGAGTACGTTGATATTGATGGGATACTTCAATGTGTATGTCATACTATATACTCATGGTAAGGCATATTTAATACTTCGAACACATTTAATACGTGATAAATATAAAATGAAACAGTCACAGGACTTGAAATATCTGACAATACAAAAACTTTCAAACAATCTTCGCTTTGAAGAAATTCAGGCAATTTACTATGATTCATACCCGTTATCATATTACCGTAATGGTAAAATCATTGGTATTGAAGGGCTAATGATTGAGGAATATAGCAAAAAATTCAAAGTTCCATACAAAATTATCAATAAACATCCTGAAATATTATCATACCAAGAAGCCAGTCAATACTTATTACATGCCATTGCCGACATCTGCTTATCCACAAACATTAATCTGTTTGGGAGAAACTATGACAGAGTTTTATTAAATGAAATGGATGGACTATGCATTCTCACGCCAAGGAACATTCCTATATCTTCATATGACAATATTGCATTGCCACTTGATTCGATGTCTCTTATCATGTCATTTGTGTCTACAGTATCAGTTATTGTGTCATGGAAGGTAATTTCAGTCTACACAGCAAATGAAAGGTCATTAAAATCCGTCATTGTAGCAGTTCTGGAGATGATATTCAACATCGGAGCTTCAGGAATAGAACAAATTACCAAGAAGGAAGTTATTCTTTTATATTCCTTCATATTTAGTTCACTTATCTTGATCTTATTTTATGAGTCGCTAGTCCTAGCTTTCATGTTTGTTTCACCAGCGTGGAGATCAGCTTATGATTTAGCCGAATTAAATGACAGTGGTGCTAAGTTCTTTACATTTTACACAAGAGATATCGCAATTCGTTCAAGCATTCCATTTATTCGTGAAGAATTGATTAAGAATAGCGTCGATTTATCAAGAATGAAAGATTTGACAGTTCCAAAACATTTCGATGAAAATCTGGTTTATCTTGTATCCTGCAAGTATGCTGACTCTTTTGTAAGTTCAACGAAAAACTTTCATTTAAATAGGAGAATCTTTGACAAAATAAAGACAACTGAAATGTTCCAGAGTTATCCAATTCGGAAAGGATATCTATTTGCAGATGAATTCAAGCGATTTGTTGAAAGTCTTATAGAATCAGGAATTTATAAGTACTGGCTAAAAGAAAGCATTCAAAAATCGATGTTTAAAAGTCAGCAAGTTAAGGATGAATCTGAAAATCAAGTTCTTATGGAGTTTCCTCTGATTCTTCTTTTTGTGGGATGTATATTAGCCTTTGTTGTATTTCTGTATGAAAATGTTATTTGGAGATGTATGAATGCACGTATTAACCAAATAGAACCAATTGAAGATAAGCTGGAAAATCAAACAGCCAGAAAAAAGATAAATTTGACAATGTGGATGAATAAATTCATCTACAAGAAGACATTGGACATTCCAAAATATAATCCTATTAATCAAAAAAGAGAAACCATAAAGAGCCGTGAATCAATATCAGGTGGCTATTTTGTAATCAAAAAAATCAGAAAGATTAGAAAGGCAAAACAGTTTCGACAAATCGTACATGTTCGTCCTTGCCAAGAAAATCAATAGTTTGAGCAAACATTTAACTCACACATGTTTGTAATTTAGTAACTTTGAATTGTTTTTGTGATAGTTTATAGCTTGGTGAAGTTGCTATAATAATAGTTGAGTTTACTCATTTGCCTTGTAACCTATGTAGATTGAAACAATAAGCTAAATAAACGAGGGGTGTTGTATAATTATAGCTTGGACTTTTCATATCTTGATTTAAAGAAATTAATAAAACATTGTTTTTCATTTCATAAACTAATCTTGTCGCTATCAAAACTAATCCTAATGGAGTTAAAGAATTTACTTGTAAAATTTTTAATTATTTCTTTAATATCAGCGGTTCCACAAGCGCAGTTAACTAATGCGATCTTAAATGTTGTTGATAACAGCATAAAGTGGGATAAATTGACAAGTCGTTTGGGGCAAATGATGATGCATAGTGACGTGGCTGCAAAAAAGAAAGCTATTAATGTCCTAATATTTTCGATGGTTGACCAACAAGGCTCTTTAGAGTTCAATGGAATGCTGCAATCGCTAGCAAAGCATCAACCAGAAGCATTCAGTTATTCCTTAAAGGAATTCAAGGTTTCAAAAGTAGAAGTAAGATTTGAATTTTCAATCCTTTTGATGGACAGCAGCATCTTGAACTATGACTCATTCATACGGCAAAACTTCATTCTTATTTTTCCTGATTTGTCAACAAAATTCTTTGTTATCATGACACGATCATTAGACATTCGTAAAGTTTTTAATGTATGGAATGTTTTGAGTAGAAATGGATACTATAATGTCTACATAGTGCTTCACAGTAATACTGTTTTTAAAATGTTTCGAACATATCTGGAAGATGATCATTTTCAAATGATAGAAACAAACGACACAAAGTTTTTAACTGTGAAAGAAATGTCAGAAGATTCATGGATGCTACATATTAATATTATTTATTATAATTCATACCCGATGTCTTACATAGAAAATGGCGATATAATTGGTTCAGATGGGAAATTGATGCATGAATTCAGTAAGAGGGTTAAGATCCCATTTAGAATCATTAATAGAAATATGGAAAAACTCTTATTGAATGAAATTATTCAATATTTGACAACTGTCGCTGATATATGCTTGTATGCTAATCTAAACTTAAAAGGTGATAATGTATATAATGTTTGGTTAAATGAGATGGACGGACTGTGCGTACTTACACCTAGAAATATTCCTATATCTTCATATGACAATCTTGCTTTGCCACTTGATTCGATGTCTCTTGTGATGTCATTTGTGTCTACTGTATCAGTCATAGTATCATGGAAGTTGATTTCAATCTACACAGCGAATGGAAGGTCATTACAATCCATCATTGTAGCAATTCTTGAGATTATATTTAACACCGGAGCTTCAGGAATAGAACAAATTACCAAAAAGGAAGTTATTCTTCTATATTCCTTCATATTCAGCTCAATCATTCTGGATTCATTCTACGAATCTCTTCTTTTAGCTTTCATGCTAGCCGAACAGACATGGAGATCAGCATATGATTTGACAGAATTGAATGACAGTGACACAAAGTTCTTTAAGTTTTATTCTAAGAAAGCAGCTGAATTTGGTAAAGTTCCTTCCATTCGGGAAGACTTGATATTGAATTTTGTTGACATAAGATCAATGACATCACTTATGATACCCAAAAGCTTTGATGAAAATTTAGTTTATCTTGTGTCCTGCAAGTACGCAGACTCATTCATCAAATCAACACGTAATTTCAATGAAAATAGACGAATATTTGACATAATTAGAATAACTAAGATGTTTCAGGGATATCCAGTTAGAAAAGGTTTTCCATTCCAAGACGAATTTAAGACACTTGTTAGAACTTGGTCTGAATCTGGAATCAATAAGTTTTGGCAGAAACAAAGCCTTGAAAGATCAATGAAATATAATAAACATAAGAGCAACAATAAAGACGAATATTTTGACATGCAATTTCCATTGATTCTTCTATTTACAGGATGTACTGTAGCATTTTTAGCGTTTATTTACGAAAACATTACCAGTAGATGTAACTCTATTTCCATGAAAAGAGGAAGAAAAGGTGAAGATAGGCTGAACATTCAAAAACCCAGAAAGGTGAAGCTGACGAAATGGATGAACAAATTCATCTATAAGGACACATTTGATTCGACACAATTTAATCATATTAATCACAAGAGAGAAGCCATGAAATGCCGAGAATTAATATCTGGTGGATATTTTGTTATCAGAAAGATAAGAAAGAGAAAACAATATCGGCAAATTATTCAAGTTCGTCCTCATTTAAAAACTAATCGATGTAATTGAATGAAAAGTAGCAACTGTAAGTAATTCTTAAGTTCAAACTTTTTTACATCCCAAGTCAGTTAATCGAATAGAAATCCGGCGCAAAGCTAGCATGACTCTGGAATGGTGCTGGCTTCGATTTACATAAATCCAGAACTATGCCAGAGTCACGCTGGCTTTGTGCTGGATTACCAATCGATTAACTGACTTGTGCCATTCGGGACTATAAAGACATAAAATCAAGTCATGGAAACTATCCCAAATATATAGAAATGAGATATCCCATCATATCCTGAAATCACACGTCCAATACACTAAGGATACATTGGGATATCTTTATTATCGTGCATACATGCTCAGGAATTTTTTGAATATTTTTGGGAAATGTGGGATAAATATGATATTTGGGATAGTTTCCACTCCTTGCATAAATGGATAAAAATTAGATTTTATTAAATCACAAACCAAGAAAGGAAGAAAAAAAAATCTTGTCCCGATGACTTTTAATAATGACTGAGATGATGAAGTATATCCACATGTAGAAATGCGAAAAAAAGTCTTTCTTTTTCTTATTCGCTTGACTTGTTTTTTAAGTACAATAATATTTAATTACATTATTTTTCTTCATCATCATCATTGTCCTAGAAAGCAATGCTTGATAGCAATAATAATTTTATAAGTACACATACACAACAAAAGCACATGGAAAAGTAGAAGAAACAATTCGTCTTGTAATTCAAAGGATTGTTATCGTCAAGTGTTTAAGTTTTATTATTAAATTGGAGATTCAGGAGCTATTTTTCTTGAATTCTTGAGTATCAAATGTTCTTTGGTGACGTGCTTAACTTGTTATTGTTATTTTAACTTTAGGGCTTTGGGTTTATGCACCGCAGTGGTTGAATTAGGTTCAAGAGCGTAGCCTTGGGGAAGGTTCGGATATTTTTGACTGATAATCAGCTATCTCTGGTCATTATTTGTCTTGTACAATCAACAGACATGAACAGACTGCTACCGATTTAAGGTACATTTGAATGACATTTGATGCCATCAGATTATAAACTTTGACAAGTTGGTAAAGGGGGTGGGGGTCAGCAAGAAATGAACAGATTTTTTTTTGTTGAATAATGACCGTTAAGAGACGTCATAAGTGAACGACCCGAAAGCATGCAATCATTATTTTAAGGCAACATTTATTTCAAAGTTGTTGATTATTAGGTGTTGCTAAGGTTGAAGCTCTTTTACCCATGATTTTAAATTTGTCAACAATTTTAAGAATATTTTCAATATTTTCTAAATATCTAGACCCACCCTAAGAACCCCAACCTAAGAATCCATATCGTAACTCATTAAATTTCACATTCATAACAACAGTAAATCCACAAAACAAGAAAACAATAATTGAGACTTACGAGAGTGCTGAATGAAATAAGAATTAATCAAATTAGAACTTTTATTTTGATAATAATCATGATAATCCAATAAAATCCTTCACATATTGATTAACTGCTAATTTATTATCCGTAGATAATCTTCATAAATCTCCTAATTAATAATGACAGTAATGCTTAAAGTAATCAACAATATCTTGCAAATAAATCACAATTTTCTTTAAATTCGCAAGTTTTTTATTTTTGCAACAATAAATTCCACAGCAGAACAGAACAAACGACAACAGATGAATAAAATGAATGGTTGTGGAGTCTGGCGGGTAGAATAGACTATGGCGCCAAAATGTATAGGAACATAAGCCAGACAATATAAACTCGTTCAGTTAAATGGAACTTTAACAGTTATTTTTCCATTCTCATACCAAACAATATTCAATAAATGGATGAAAAAGAGGAAAAAAATGGAAAATAAATTGGTTCATCAATTTTCCAGTTGAAAACATTTCAAAAGAAGAGAAAAAAATATATTTGCGAGTAGGAAGAAAAAGAAATAAAGTTTGTGAATCGAAAGTTTTTGATTGTTGTGTGGATTTAGGACGGAATTTTTTTTTTAGATTTTATGGCGATTTTTTGTGCAATTCTGGGCATTGAAAGAAACGAAAAGCCAAAGCAATCTATTGAACTAAGTTGCTTTACTACAAATAACCCTAGTTCATCACTGATAATCGAAATATTTATCCTTAGTAGTCTAAAGTGGCTTAAAAATGGTTTTGTGGAAGCTATTTTAGGTTTTGAGACGTCAACAAAGCTATCATACACTTGATAAACTGCTAACACGACTCATTGTTTGCTTCGCTTTGAATCTTAGCAAATCCTTAGCAAAAATAAGAAACTTTTTCATATTCGATCTTAATATTTAATGTTTTGGTTCACAATACTTCTTAAAGAGCTCCAAACAGCTAGAAACATTCAACTTTTTAGCGCATTTTTGAAACTTGTTTCTAAAAGGTAGCTTAATATCTCACTATGTCTGTTCGTTCGGGCCGAGAAAAACTTTTTAAGTAGACATCGTAGAGAGTTCTAGTTTGTTTTATTAGCTCAGGTCCATTGTTTTATTTTCGGGAAACGCATTTAAAAGTCTTGAAACAGTCTTTTTGTCCTATAATTAATGATTTTTATATTTCAAACGAAAAAACACGTGATGAAAGCGTTTAGAAATTCGAATTTATTTCTACCGTTGAAAAATTTTGAATCTCAAAAAACCGTTGAATTACAAAGCTTTTCTATATAAGCATTCATTGTAATTATTTGCTAATTGCACTAAAATTAACGATCTTCTAATCTTCTAATGATCTGTAAATGAACGCAAAATAAATAGATAATCAAATACTGATCGCTAACACAAAAATGCGCTTAAGTCCCTTGATCAATAACACGACGACTTCTGTAATTTTTTCATACAGCATCCAAAAAAATTCACTACCGAAAAAATAAAAAAATTGAAAAAGATGCCTTTTACGGCTTCCATTTCTATCAATGCTTTGCAGACCAGAATGAATACGTTTTTAGGTTATTGTTGATCACAAAGCTTCTGTGCCTTATCAAAAGAACGTAACAAAAAATTGATTCACTTTCTCATTGGACCACCATAAAAGTATTCAAACATAAATTCATGATATGTTCAATCAATCTATTATGGATCCTTTCTTTTCTTATTATTATGATGGCTCGAATGTCATTTTGAGAGGATACAAAAGGAATGATGATGATGATAAAATGGAATAAGTCATTCACATCGTTTTTTTTTTGGATATTTGACAATACTTTTCTCTCCTTTATCCCTTTTTTTGTGGGCTATCATAAATTTCCTTTCGGCTATTCTACCCACAGATTGAATGAGATGTGGTCTTACTTGTTTGTATGCTGATGGGAAATTTATGAATGGAACTAACAACAATGAAAATGGCTGGCGTGATATCAGCGAATATTAAAATTATGTTATAGGGTAATAAAGTCATTGAACATTGTCGGGGGTATTGATGGTGTTATTGATATGCTGTAAACCATTTATTGAGTTTAATGTGATATGATACGTCTAATGACTGTCTTGTGGATGAATGAAAGATGTGGGTGGTAAGGGAATGAAGAGGTTTAATTAGATTTTAATGGTTTGAGGGATTTTGTTGTTGACTTGATTAGCTTTTAGAATTTGATGCAGTAAATTGCAAAAAGTTTTGAACAAGAAGAATGAAAAACTTTGCATATTGATCTTCCTAATGGTCCTCAGTTGCTAAATCAGGAGTTCTTTTACTTTTTGGTACATTAGACAACTTATCTATTGTAAGTTTTGGTGACTTTGCAAAAACTTGAAGTTTTGTACGTGTTGCGAACCATACTTTAAGAACCACTGAGCAAAATGAATAAGTTTCAACTTGTGCTGCATCTTCAATCGTTTACATCTTTTTATGCATTTTTTTTGGCCATTAGCATGAGCATGACGTCATTTGGTACATATTAGGTCAAATTCATCCTTTGCAATCTTATGAACAAGTTTCATTCACATCTTATAAACAGAAAATATCATTTGTTGACCAAATATTCAGTCACTTGAAAAATAGAAATATCTAGCATCTTTAAGTTCCATTCACCCTGAAGAAAATCATGACGGTGGCATTCTTAAATGACGTCCATAAATTTTTCAAACCTGCTAACATGTTTGTGACAGAATTAAACACAATAATGTCTATGAAGTGCCTTACAGCACATGAATGGTAGACATCACAAGTGAATGTCCAAAAATATCATATTCTTTTCCCATCAACAAAAAAATAAAATAAACTTATGGCAAAGAACATAAACAATAAATCATTTATAACAAAACAAGATTGTAGCTTAGAATGAATGCGGAATCGAGCAAGTCCAAGTGTTACTTCCAATAATAACGCTATTAAATAAACGAGATTTCTCCGAAAAAAAAATCTCATTCAAGATGAAAAATTCATACTTATAATGCTATATGGAATTCCTATCTGGAACATCATGTGTATAGAATATAGATATACATGCATTCATACGAGTGACACAATGGTGATTTTTTTTGGTCCACACAGAAAAAAAATCACTAGAAAGAAAATCTATGGCTTTTATGCCCTCCTTCAACCCCAACAATCATATATCGCGTGTCCTTCCTCCTGTCATATCGTAATGCCATAATTTTTGACCAGTTTTTGTTCATATACTTCCTCTAACGGTGGTTTTTCATTTGTTGTGATGCTGAAAGATGCTCACAAAAAAAGCATATAGAATGAAAGACAGCAGTGAAAAAGAGAAGAATAAGTAAAAAATTCTCAATTTTCTTTTTATTGCATTTTTTTGTTTTTGGATGGGGATTTATACAATTTTCGATGATGGTGTGTCTACTGATGAAGGATTATAAAAAAAATTTAATCAGGTTAATGCCTTGTTTTTGATGAGAAAAGTTTCCAGTGGTCCTTAAAATCTATATAGTTCAAAAAAAACTTCTTTTAAAGAAGCAAGATATCAGGATGTGTCGAGCACTTTGATGAGGTCTAATTGAATCATGAGGATATGAATAAGCAGCATGACCAGGACATTAACGGTTTAATAAAGAAC